TTCATGTTCTAAAAATGGTACGGATGTGTTCCTGAGCTCACAAGGAACACAAAGATGGCTTCCAAAACCTCGATCCATGATTAGTGAGCTAGGTTCGAGTTTGTCCGTACTGTTGTACGGAAATGGAAGAAAATCCGAGAGGGAGGAGATAGAGAGTCAACGAGATTGGTTGGTGTGTGTGTGTGTGTGGTCCAACTTTGGGCTACTAACAACAACAAACCATTAACTTTAAGTTCCAAAAACTTAGGAACTTAACATATTGGTCCACCTCTAAAAGTACGTTACACGCAACACATCTCAATGTTCAAGAGCAAAATAGACATTTCACATTGTTGATAAAAATAATCTGAGACAGGCTGTGACAAATAATGTTTAAAAGTGGTCCAATGTTGGTTGTGTACAAATCATGTGGTGGTTGGTTGGGGAAAATATTTATATTTCGACAAGTAAACCATTTTTAAGGAATTATGTAATCATAAATTTTTAATTTAAATGGATGTGCGGGGCTGTTTTTTTTCTTTCTTTTTCGATAGACATGAGGCGTGTGGGGATTCTGCTTCGCTATTTAAAATACGGTGTACTTGTAGTTCATTTCATTTATTGGTGAAATATTTAGGTTTAAATCTGGTTAACGAATAAGCCAAATTAAATTATTATAGTTGATCTATTGTGTGATTTGAACCTATATCATCATTTTTAGTGTAAATTATAGCGTTATAATTTTTTTTTTTAAAGTCATGCTGTTTTATAATAGTTTGAATATCTGGAATAAATCGTTTACCTTTACCTTCATCTTTATGTACGTGGAATTTTACGAGTTATCTATTACAATCCTGGAAACCAAACGAGCTTAAGAAACAAAGAATCGGAATATTTAAACTTAGGACCTTGAATACAAAAGTGTATATTCTTAATCACTTGAGCTACAATTTCTTTGTTAGACTTTTGTAGTTTAGAATGCATAATCTAATAAAAGCTTTATTTACAGAAGAAAAGAAAGAAAATGAGGAGACATGTTTGATTTGTACTAAATAATAGGGGTGTGATATCTACACATCACGTTTTAACTTCTCACACACCCTCTTAATTTCTAACCGTTAGATCGAATGAATTAAAAAAAAAATCAAAAGACAAAAATAATAATGCTTAAAGGTGGTCCAATGTTAGTTGTGTAAAAATCATGTGGTGGTTGGTTGGGGAAAATATTTATATTTTCAATTTAAATGAACCTGTGGAGCTTTTTTTTTTTTTTTTTTTTTTCTTTGATATTTTGATACAGACATGAGACGTATGGGGCTTGTCAAAAGAGTCATTCTTCTTTGTTATTAATTCAGTCTAGTTGTATTATGTTTTATTAATAAAATATATAGGTTTAAATCTTGTTGACTAATAGGGCCGAACCAAATAATTATATTTAATTTATTGTGTGATATTTTCATCATCTTTAGTGTAAATCCTATGGTTATAATTTTTTTTTAAGTCATGCGGCTTTATAACAGTTGAATACAATATTGCAATAAGTGCGAATAGTGTCAAGAGACTAATGTGAAACTTTTGTTGAATTGAAGGACATAAATTGACCGAATTTTTGTTCTAGGACATATTCTAAAGTCGGGAGCAAGTTCAGGGATGAATTCTCATTTTCACCTTTTTAAATCTTTCTTTGCTTATAAAAACAGATGAATACTTGTATTATGTGGAAAGATTTACAATATATGAAGCTATCGATTGAAATGTAAATGTAAATATTGTTGATGTGATATTCAAGTTGTTAGGATTTAATGTGAGTCATTGAATCATAGTCTTTTTGGTATCTTAGATTAGATTTCATTAAGTCATAACTCATGACAAGTGTAATCATCTCATAAGGTGACTTAAGATTGAATGGTTAGGATGATTTTGTATGGTGTGATAGAGTGAGAGAGTGTGGTGCTCCTCCTCTAACGATAATATATTATTTGCATGCATATTAAATTATTAGTCTCTGTGATGATATGGTAGTTGGAAGAAAGTTCATGTAGTAAAAGAACAAAAAACCAAATCCCCTCCTTCTTTCCTGCAACCCGCACCTCCACCAGCGTTTTTTTATCAGGAAAACTAATGAAAAGGGCTTGAAAACTTTGAGTTTTAATGATAAGGACAAAATAAAGGGTAAAGTGAATAGTACCAGGATTGACTTTTTAGTGTAAAAATATGGTTTTTCGTTAAAGTGAACAGTACCGGGAGCTTTTCGTTAAAGTTTCCTTTTTTATCTTCCCCCAATCAACTTTTTAACCACTCAAAGCTGTCCTAAAATCCCTTTTCTTCTTCTCTCTCCTCAAAACCTTCTTCTTCCCTTCTTCCTCCCCCAATCAAATTTTAAACCCCTCAAAGCTATCCTAAAATCCCCTTGTCTTCTTCTCTCTGCTCAAAACCCAAAAAGCCTGCGTGCGCTTCCAACATCCAGGTTGCAGACAGGTTCGCGGCGATCTGCAGGCTGCTGGAGCAGTAGATTTTGCATTCGGCTTCCTCCGCTAACAAGTCTTAGATTTGGCAACAGCTCTAGCACTACTCTCAGTTCCCCGATTTCAATAACTACCTTGCTTTCAATCTCGCACGTGCCGAGGTATGCTCCCCCTCCCTCCACTTCCCCCCAATTGTGTATTCATTTTCAATTTGAGTCAGTAGGGTTTGTGTTTTTGCTTTTCAATTTTTATTTTTTTAAGAGAGAGAGAGGGATGGGGAAGAAATTACAGGGGGAAGAAGAAAGGTGGGGGAAGGTTGGGGGAGACTGGTGGTGAAGGAAGGCTGGGGGAGGGTGTGGGTTGCAGGGAAGAAGGAAGGGAGGGTTGGGGGAGGAAGAAAGGAAGAAGAAGAAGTAGAGAGAGGAAAAAAAAAAAAAGAAAAAAAGCTGGAGGGTGCGGGTTGCAGGAAGAAGAAGGGGATTTCAGGGTTTTTTTTTTATTATAATTTTTTTTAATATATATTTTTTTAATGATATGTGGCATCTAGTCATTGTCCACGTGGAACAACATGATCAGTTAACAGAAAACTTAACAGTTTGACTAACGGATGAATGAGACTGTCCCAAAATTTACACTTTAGATATAACTCTAAAACGAAAAAAACTTGATGTACCAAATGTTGAAAACCACAAAACATAAAGGTAGTAAAGGGAGTTACCCTAAAAAAAATTAGAATTTAAGTTCTTGTGGGGAAGTTTGTTAGTATTTATGCCAAAAAATGAAACTTCCGTCAACTCTCCTTTAATTATTAACACGTGAGCTATACATATTAGGCTAAAACAAAATTCTCCATCAATTGTTAGCATGTGGGGCTTAAATATGAGGCTAACTTTATTTTTTAGTCTCAAATGTGAGTTTCATATGCTAACAATTAACGAAGAGTAGACGAAATTTTTAATTTTGAATCTAAATCTAAATAGATTTCACCACACGGACTTAAATCCTCTTTTTTTTGTTGTTATGATTTAATGTGAGTCATTGGATCATAGTTCATGTGGTCTCTTAGATTAGATTTCATTAAGTCATAACTCATAACAAGTGTAATCATCTCAAAAGGTGACTTAAGATTGAATGGCTCTGATGATTTTGTATGATGTGATAGAGCGACAAGTGTGATGCCCCTCCTCTAACGGTAACATATTCTTTGCACGCATTTGGTGTGAGGATGATAATCCAATGAGAATTTCAGCTGTGATACTTCTTTGCAATTGTTGCATCACTGCAATTCCTCAGAAATCATTCCATTGAAATCGTACACTCAGAATCAATATACTAACAAATCTATTACAATGGATTTCCGAATTACTCGTTTCCCCATGTTACGCCAACGCATCTGTAGAACGGTAAGAACTTGGCCGGTGTTAAAGGTAGGCATTGGTAGCGGTTGGTCAGCCCAATCTGGTGATAGTTCCACGAGATGGCTGAAACTTACATGAAACCTGTGTATACCCCCATCTGTATCATCACGAGAGGACGGAGATAGATGAGGATATATTTTGTCTCTCCCGCAAGAGTCTGCTACACACTCAAGAAGCACCACGGTGTCATGTTTTTGATCCTAATGAAGACCGCGCGGGTTCGGCGAACATGCTCCCCGAGGCATAACCAAAGAATAAAAATCAAAACAATGGCCTGAGCATGCTACTACTTAGGGGTGGATTTTTTTGCCTAATTGCCGTGCCAACCGAATTACCAACCGTGCCATACCGATTTTGTGCCAAATTTTTTTGTGCCAATCGGTAATGGTACGGTATTCTACCGTACCGAAATTTCTTGGTACGGTATTGGTAATGGATATCATTACCACGGTATTACCTTACCGTACCGAACATATAATATAATATATCATTTATAAATTATATAATATATAATTATATAACACATATTTATAATATTCTAATAATTTGATATGATGAAAGAGGCTCAACCTCGGTTCAAGATTCCAAATAGGAAGAAGATTGCGGCCAATGTGTGGGATTTATATGTGTTGGAGAAGTCTAAATTATTTGAAGCAATGCATAATCAAAAGGTAAGTATCACAACCGATACTTGGACATCAGTACAAAACATTAACTACATGGTAGTTACCGCTCACTTCATGGATAATGAATGAAAGTTGCACAAACGGATCATAAACTTCATAAAGATCACGGGTCATAAGGGAGAAGACATTGGGAAAGTTCTAGAGGTGTGTTTGAACCAATGGAGGATAGAGAAGATCTTTAGCATGGGGGAAACTTCTATTTGTTTTGGTTCATAACTTCTATTTGGATTGTAAGCTTAATTTTCATCATGAATCTTGATACATCATTTGAATTATTGTGTGTGTGAATTGTAAATGATGAATAATAGATGAATTTAGGCTACAATGTATGAGATACAGGTACAATAAAAAAGTTTTGCCCTTGAATTGGGTTAAAAAAGCAAGAACAAATTTTGTCCCAAAACAAAGTGGCAATTACCATTGCCATACAATGCCAACCGAACATTTGGCAATACCGAACTTCGATATACCGAAAGTTTGGTATGGTAATGGTAATAGATTTTACCAAACCGAAAGTTTGGTATGGTAATTGGTACGAGGGTTTTGGTACGGTAACCGTACCGAACCCACCCCTACTACTACTTGTATGCCCTTGTCCAAACAGGTACACAATATATCAGGATTCCCAAACCAAACGAGGTGCATATCGTAGCTGTGGCATATGCGTATGCTCTCCATGGGTATTTGCTTTCTCTCATCGCGTTGAACTCAGCGATGAAGGTAGAAACAGTACTAAGGCAACCCAAAAATCCAAATTGTATGCCTGTTGCAACAATGTCGCAAGTCTTAGTATTCACCTGCACAAACAAATAGTTCTGCACGTCAGATTTTCTATTAAAAAGGAAAAAACCGTGGGCATGGATCAAGACAACGTATGACAAAGGTAATGCAGTTCGAAAAACATTACAATAGAGAATAGTACGGTTCAAGAATTCCCCAAGAAGCTTTTAAAACCTCGACGAGAAAAAAAAAAACCCAAAATAACAAATTTAGCAGTTTATAATATGACGAATATATGTGAACAGTAAGCTTGCCGGACACGAGACAATAACACATGAAAGGTAATGGTGAGGATGAAGTCATGGAGTGGATGCGGACAGATATCATATCATAACAGCTTACTGCCTTCTTCACAGTAGACAGGGCTGCCATTACACAAGCTGCAGAAACATTGGCAATTAAAGTACCAAATGGAACCCATTTCAACAACCCGGTCTTTCCTAATCCACATCCATTAAGCCGGGCTAAGAACCACCGGATCCACACACCAAAAGGTCCAACTATGCAACCCAACCATAGTTGCGCCTCGCTGCTGCTACTGTTAAATTCCTCTCTCAACAGTACTCCACCTATGCTCCACAGAGAACTTAGCATCAGCAACAACACTACTAAAGCTACCAAGTGACGCTTGTAGCTGTCAACCCTCCACCTCCTTCTAGAGCTGGTAATACCACAGACTGAGCTTCTCTCAAGAATCTGCCTAAAACCCTTTGCTGTCTCTACCCCAAAAATGATGGAGTAGGCCGCAAGAAACAAACCTGACATCCGTCACATAAAAGAGGATCTCATATTAGTCCAGTGATTTGAGTAACATTGATTGAAATGAAATTTAAATATCCTGTTTGCCAAAGCGATCCACATGTCTACTGCAGCAATTCTTTAGAATATGACATCTTACCTATCAAAAAGCCGAGCAGAGCAAAAACCCAATGTCCTTCAACACTGAGTTCAAGCATTTTCTGGTTCCAACCACTAAAAGTTGTAAGGCTTCCCAAGTAACCAGTTGTTAATCCGATGACCAAATAATCTGACACATAGGATATATCTCTTTGAAAACAACACCCAAACACCCCATCAAGAAAGAGCCAACCTACAAAAATGCATTAGAAACAAAAATTTGAGTTGGAACATCATCCAGCATTTTCGGCATCACAACCATTGAGAACTATGACATGAAAAAAAAAAAAGATGATGGGAAAAAAGTATGGAAAGAAAGGTGTTAAGAAACTTGATAATACTTCGGCGATCATCGTACTGTGTGCATCACAAGTCCTTCCTAATACTCATAAGTAACAGCTTTACAGAAAACATGTTTATTAACACAACACTACCGAATAAAGGGCATAATACATTTGTGTGTGTGTGTGTATGATCGTGTGCATGAGAGAGAGAGAGACCATATTAGAAGGAAGATCAAGGTAGAGAATGGTTTTGTCGCTTGTTACACCAACAACTCCAGGGCCAAACAATTTTTGCAGAAGATATCTCGTTAAGACCTGCATACTGTAGCATGTCAAATAATCTATTTAATATCTAGGTTTCCAGATTTGAAGAAAGATCTAAGAAGATGTATTACAGTGACATATTCAATTTTTTCCAAGACAAACAGAAATATGAACATGCCAGTGCATCATCAAACATTTTTGTGAACAAAACTTATGTAATTTTAGGGGGTACAATAGACCGGATACAATTTGTCTGCATACCAATTACACAGATTTTCCACACAAGAAAAAAAAATAGCACGAAAAAGTTCGCAATACAATTTGCCAAACAAATGCAACAACAGCTATAAACCCAACACATTAGGACTAAAAAAAATTTACATCGGTATTTAGTAAGAAACAGAGTTAACCGTGTTACCCCAAGAATGCCAAAAAATGCTAAATGAGTCATGCATGAACCATATTCCAATAATTTTGGCAACCTTGTTGTATTTTCCTGCATATGAAAACAAAATAATTTAAGTTACTAGCATGATTCGACAAAAAGAAAAGAAAAAACTCTTAACATGTTATGATCAATGAAAAAGAAAGCCAAATGGACAAGGATCTCTAACAAACATAATATACAATATGAATTTTATCAACCGAAAGCTCACTGGCTTTTTGTCTTCGGATATGATCGCATCAGTGGAAAGAGGAGATATGATTTCCTTTGGCAAGGGAGTGACAGGGGAAATTGCAGGGTCACGACCCCATAATCCATAGGTTTGCAGTTGAACATACTCTGAAGGAAACAGGCAGACGCTGCCAATCTCACTGTGCCTATTGCTGTGAAGAGCCCGATCGCCAATATCTCCTGCCTCTGACACACATTCACTTTCATTGTCATCATCTATTTGAGAAGGCCGAACATGTGATAAACTTAAAGACCGCCTCCTTAATGAAGAAGTGGCACCGCTTGTTCGATCATTGGATACGCTTCGTCTGGGTTTAGTGTCATTAGTCCCACGGTACCCTTCCTCCATAACCACAGCGCTTGATTTCTCTTGAAGTGACTTCACAAATAATAACAATAAAATCCGAATGTTGATTATTTAGAGAGCTAAAAATGAGAGGAACAAGTCCAGTAGAGAAAATAATGCAATTATTGTGCTACAAACGTTGAAATGCTATAGTTTGTACTTTGGAAGGAGCCCTAACCACTCCGTGTGTCAAAATAATCAAAAGATTTGCATACAAACAAACGGCGACAACTCTTTCAGCTTTAATAAGAATAAGTCAAGACCTTAAAAACCAAAAAAAATATAAAAATAAATATGAAGTATAATGACAAAACTTCGTACATAAGCTCTAGCAGCCATGACACGAGCAAAAAGAAAGAGACAAAACTGATTCGTCAAGATTTCCACAAAATTCATACATCCTATAGCTCTAAACAAATCCATTCAGATAATATTTATTATGCTACGTATTAAGATTATAGAATTATGAATGATGTCACCGTTTCATCTATTCATCTAAAGGGAGAATGTACGCTTTATTTTTCTACTTGTCATCAAGTAAGAAGATACAATAATGCAATTAGACTTAGTTTTTCGTCAACAAAAGAGTACTGTTACACTGCAGAATTATGTTTAACCACAGAAGAAACAAAAATAATTGCTCAACTTTTTCAATGACACCACACGATTTAACAACACCAACAAAAAGCAAATGCCAGGGCCTGCCAACTAAATTAATCATAAAGTAAATTTCAGTGTCAAACAAATCACAGAATGTTTCTCAAAAAACAAAAAACAGACGAATCACAGAATGTCCTTCAAACCAATTTAAATCTAGCAACCCAATAGTTATTTTGACAAATAATCAATGATTTCTCTTCAAACTTGTAATACCAAACCTTGTGAATTTCAGTTCATATACAGAATGCAATATGCTTTTGTCGTCTTTGTAAAACAAAATACAGAAGACAAATCATCAAAAAATCCCAGTCCGATCTAATATTGTCATGTATTTCAACTATCCCAAGTAACAGTGCATGATGAATTTGGGATACTGACACAATGACATTTGGTTATAGCTAAGTTCGAGAAGGGACTATCTTTTTGCTTTATGACTACTAGGTAGCAAATTGAACAAGTTGGGACCTAATAAAAAGTTGGTTCATAACATCAAATTAGAAGCAGTAACAAAGTCAATTTGTTTAATAAGCACTCAAATCTCATTTCTCTAAGGACGTGTCCTCCACTAAAGAACCTAAAACATAAAAAACCAGAAGAACAAAAAGATTACATTTTCATTGGTTGTGAACTGTTAAATTATGCACAAACTAATCAGAAAGTGAAACATTTCAGAACCTAGAATTATTAAACAATCTCATATTCTAATAACACAAGTTTAAGGTGCAAGATAGACGCATTAAAGTAAAATTAATACGAGCTTAAAATATAAACGAGAAGAAAAGGTCAAAACTTAGAGAAATTGGAAGATTAAAATATAGAGAAAAAAGGAGTTTAAGGTACCGTTGATTCTTTGAATACAGAAAGAGGTGTCTAGATTTCAAAACTGCAGAAAGGGTTCGCGAGTTTGGTATTGAATGGCAGCTGGAGAGGTTGAAGGCGGCGGCAATGGGAGGAAGACAGAAAAACAAAGAGTATTTATCAAATATAGAAAAAAAAACAATCTTTAATTTCAAAAATGTTACATTTTATAAAATCTTTCAAATATATACAAAATTCCATCTAAATAGACGCAATACTCTCAAATTTAACAATCAAATAAATTAAAGGCTTTTTAGCCAAAATGATTTGTGACATTGACATAACTCCTTAATCTGGTCCTTAATAATTAATGATAATCAATAGTAATGTTCTTGAATTTGTCTATCATGAATCATTTTAGTCTTTCTTTGAATTTGTTCATCGTGATCATTTTAGTTTTTTTGTGAAAAATTTGTCAATTAGTATGTTAGTGTGATGATGTGGCGCCATGTGGATCTCACAAATACAATCATATAACGACATGTGGACTAACTTTAAAAACTATTTATATATTTAAAACTAAAAATGATATTAGTAAGAAAAAAGGTGTTGAAAGCATGATTGAAATTATCCTGCTCCCACTTGAGGTAACTACGGCGATGCTCAATGTCGGTGATGAAGGGGTCGAAAGGGATAGGGTTGGTTGTGGAGTGTAGAAGCGAAGGTGAAGTTGGACCGGATGTCACGCCCCTATCCCGACATACGTCCAAGATCGACATGTGACGTCACCAAATACCTGTATCTCTAACATACCTCGCCTTCGGGAAAAGGTAAAACATAACTTAAGATCCAACTGTGCAATAATTCTTCGTAGACTTTATGGCTGCATCTAACATCTTCGTTAGACTGCCTACATACCCTAAATAGGGATCAAGCCATTCATAGTTCATTACTTCACTACACTCGAACATTCATCACATAAATTGTTATGTCCCAACAATATACCACAATGCATATCATGCAACATTTCAAAGAACAAACAACAAAGCACAATCATATTCTCTAGCCATATTTATCAAAAAGTCTAATCATAACAATAACAATGATATCCAACATCACAATCCCACATGACGAATAGCATTTCCACTTCATCCATCACATAAATCATCATGTTTCCCTCATAAAATCACAATTCTTAGCGTGTAACATATTAAAGAATTAACAATGCACAATATTATTCTCTAGAAACATTGATCAACCAAAATAATCAAAATAACTACACTCATATCCAGCATCATTCCACAATCCCATCAATTAATCAATTCATGAACCAAAGATGTACAATCTTAGCATTTAATTACGTTAATCAAACAATGCGATAACAAAACATTTCACTAATTTAACCAAGGAACTCTATATAATTCCCCACTTGGATTATGAATAATAACATGGTAATTCTAATTTGTATTCACAAGTTCTATTGTGGGTAATTCTCATTCACTTGAATTTAAGATTCTAAGATAACTTTACGGAAATGAACAAGAGCAAGGATTCCAGACCACTCAACGAAATCCAACAACATCGGGTTCCGGACCACTCAACGAAACCAAAATATCAAGCAACTTTTCGTAATCTACCCTGACATGTCATATGTACAATCATGCCTACATCAAGGAGATGGCACACTAGGCAAATCAGACACATGGTTAAGCTGCGAAGCTCGAGTGAGTGACAATAATACTAATATGTGATATTCAATAAAAACAGATCATCGATCACAATTTATAAGCATCAAGTATAAAATCATGCTTTATGGAATCACAATCAAGTCACTGAAAACTCCGTAGGAGTCACCCAGACATCCAACGGTCTTTCTAATTCAAACCATAATATTCTTAAAACCATCATTCATATGTACATTAAAAACTAGGGCTAGATGGACGCAGTTCGGTCGAAGCCCACATAAGTAACTAAACACGAAGTGGCCCCCCAAAGCGGATTAACCAAGAAGAGCCACTCCTGAGGAAGTAACCAAGTAGGCAATGACCCCCAATGCGGATTAACCAAGCAGAGTCACTCCTATAGCTGTTAGGAAGTGATCACCCAATGCGGATTAACCAAGCATGATCACTCCTCATCATACATGGTCATAAGGATCACTCCTCATAACACAATCATATAAATTCTACATAATACTTCTAATAGAATTCTAAGATCACATAGTCATAGCATTTATCATACTTATCATTCACATTGCTAAAAAGAGATAATTAAACACACATATATCACAACCATCATCAGTACACAAGCCAAATCATGTTTCATAAACAAAGGTCTATGGCTAAATATATAAAAATCACATTTCAATAGAAATCACACTTATAAAACCAATTCATATTCACAACGAATACTAATATAAGAATTTAAGGTAATAACCCTACCCCATATGTTAAGTCACTATTTAACCAATGTGGGTCCACTAGACTTCACTTAGTCTCCCGTAGTACCAATTTTAGTATGCAAAACATTTCGAGACATGTTGACCAAAAGTCAACTCTCAGTCAACGGTAGGATTCGCAACTCCACATAATTCGATCCGAAAGATCCGCCCATCGGATTTTGGATCCGTAACTTCTTAGGGTTCTCATTATTCTCATAGAACAACATACTAAATTCTCATCGAGATCCGACGGCCGGATCTTCACCAATTGCTAGAATTAGATGGTAGTTAACAATTAATTTTACTAACTTAGAAATCCAATTCAGGAAAATCCGTACATCAGATTCCTGATCCATCAGTTCTAGCTATCTTCAAATATTACGTTCTATAATGCATTAAATTTTGGTGATGATCCAACGATCAGATCGTCGATTCAAATTTTGATCAAGTGATGTATCATAATGAAACTAAGTTCAAACAATCAAACCACTTCATACAGATATCAATTATGAATCCAGGGCATCTAATTGGACTTAGAAAGACATCATCGGTCCACCGCTGAACACGTCGCCGCACACGGTGGCCGGCCACTACAACTCACCAGAAAATTCAACTAACTCCAAAAATTATCAAATTTTACAGGTATGTAGAGTTCAATGAGAGGAACAAATTTCATACTTGGAGTGAAGTCCAATTCGGCAGGAAAGTGGCCTGAAAACTCCTCGATCCGCCTGAACCCTAAAAATTGGGTGTGGTTCAATTTAACGTCAAACTCAACTCCACCACCTCCAATGTTGATTGGGCTTTGTCCCTGGACTCCAAAGACACTTGAGGGTGGTGATGGTTGATGGAAATCCCTTCGGAAATGGGCGGATTACCGCCATGGCTTCGGAACACCCACCATCGGTTCTTCACCAAATTACCCCAAATTCCTTTGAATTGTGGGTGCAAATGGAAGAAGGAGTGGCGAGATGAAGCTTGGGAATGTTTATTTGGTCTAATTCGATAAAAAACCATCATAAAATCCAGAGGAACGGGTCAAGTACGCGGGTCAAGGGGAAACCCGTTTTCCCCCTCATTCTCTCCTTCCTTCCTTTCCCTTATTTCCTCCTCCCTCATTCGCCACCTCCTTTCTCTCTCCTTCTCTCCTTGGCCGAGACTCTCTCCTTTCTCTCTTGAAACTCCCCTCTTCCTCCCTTTCATTCGCTGCCCTCCAGCAACTTCCATCCATCTTTTCTTTTCTTTTTTTTCTTTTTTTTCCTCTCCATAAAATAATTTATCCACCCCCATATAAGGAAAGGAAATTCTAGATTTATGCATGGTTGCCAACTATATATAAAATTCTTTAAAAATAAATCTTGAAATTAATAATACTTAAATATGTAATTTAAATAGTGAAATTCGGGGACGAAATTTCACACCGGAGTTTAAGATGACAGTAGCTAAAAAGGCTTTAATTTATTTAATTGTTAAATTTGAGGGTATTTGTGTCTATTTAAATGAAATTTTGGATATATTTGAAGCAATAGTGAGCAAAGTAATAAAATTGACACTTAGAATTCACGTTTGAACGCAAAAATCCACTTTATACACAAAGGGAAGATTCACAAAACACTTAGGGCCAGATTCAAACTTTTGGACCATTTCTTCAACAACTAATACTTGTGAGTTCATTCTCACTTATTTTTCAACTTTTTCTTTTTTTTTCTTTTTTTTCACATTTTTCTTTTTCACATTTTTTCTTTCTTTTGTTGGAAATACCTTTCCCCCACACTTGTTTTCTGCATAATGTTGATCAAATTGAATTCCCTCTAAGTCATGCTCCACTATACTTTAAGAACAAAGGTATGGATAGTCCTATTCTAGGCTAGGTAGGGATAATGTGGCTAACAAAGAAATTAGTCTAGACAAGGCTCAAAGGGGTTTAACCTACAAAACAAATGCATGGGATGAAGGATTTTTGGCTCTAGTGGTAACTACTAAACAACTTCATCTTGTTATGTGTTATGCACTCAATTTTAAGCTTTGAATGAAACGGGCATGAGTTCTAGTATTTGGAACTATAATGATGAAAATGCATTCTAAGTAGCAACCAAGCAAAGAAACAATGAGATCATGCAACGACTTTAGAAAACAAGAAATCACAGATTAATAACTCTCCAAACAAAGTTTAGGCTCAAGTCTCTCAGGGTTGTAGCATTTGTTTGAGTTCCTTCCTTCAAGCATGTTACAAAAACTGATTTTTTTTTCTTTGTGATTACATGTGAATTCGTAAACGTCAACTACAACCAAGCATAAACCAAAGAGCATATCAAACTTCCATCCATGTTTGTAACTCTCTTTAACAGTTATACAATTAAAAACCAAATCCTCATCATTGTGTTGGAAGGTACCCTAAGACACAAACACACAAAAACGACTCTTTTTGATATTTTTCAGAACGTTTTTCGATTTTTTCTTTCTTTTTTTGTTATGTGACACAAAAACACTTAAGAACACACTAAAAACACTTAAAAACAATGAGAAACAACTTTAGAAGTGATAGGTGAATAAATCCCACGAAAATCATGCAAAAACAGCTTGTTTACCCCCCCCAACACTTAAACCAAACATTGTCCTCAATGTTTCAAACATAAACTCACACATAAGCAAACAAACAAACAACGATCTAAGCATGGCAAAATAAATGCAGTAAAGAGAAGGGTTTAGTAACACAAATCTGGTTTTGGAGTGAGAATTT